TTATGTGGCAACTTTCACACATCTGATGACTGACAGGTTTCCCTTCGTACTGTCAGTGGGTTTCCCGTAGATTCAACCTGCACATCAACCAGTTCTTTTGTCAAATGGTGCAGACTGCATGGACAGATAGACGGCAAGGAAGGAAAGCCAACAGGTCAGAAACTGACACAGAGACTCATTTAGCTGAATGTAAACTGGTCTGATATTCTGCTTAAACAACACATGAGTCCATTTTCACTAAATGCTGTTTAACAGTATGTTGACCTGTTTGAGATAAGCTGCAGTGCCCATAAAAAGTTTTCACCCCCCTCAGACGGTTTCTCCTTTCGTTTTTCAACATTAAATCATGGTCAATATAATTTGACCTTTTTGACAAGAATTTACAAAAAACTACTTTCAGGCTTCCAGGTCCGGCTGCCAAGAAGCATCTCGACACCATGATGGTGCCACCACCATGCTTCACAGTGGTGATGGTGTATTTGTGATGATATGCTGTGTTTGGTGTCTGCCTCATGTAGGGTCTATTTGATGGCCACAAAGGTCAGTTTTGGTCTCATCAGACCAAAAACCTTTCTTTTTTTTGACATTAGAGTCTCTTACATGTCTTCTGGTGAAGTCTAGTGAAGAGCTGTTTTTCAGCGGTGGCTTTCTCTTTGCCATTCAGCCATAAAGCTTTGACTGATAAAGAACAGGCAACAGTTATTGTGTGCACAGTCTCTCCCATCTCAGCTGCTGAACCCTGAAGCTTCCTCAGAGGAGTCGTACGTGTCACAGCCACTCAGTTATATTACTTCCATTTGGACCAGGACTTCCATTTATAGGCACTGTAGCCAATCGCCAAGCTCGAATGGTTTGAGCAGAAGGCCAGATTGCACCATGCCTTTAGGTAATGCAAGCTCGTTTGATCATTTCTTAGTCATTATATAATTAATATCTCTTAACATTGTCTCCTCCTTTAGTTGCAGCCTGACAGCATCGTCCCTACACTTACACTGAGACACAGGACAGAGCACTTACAGGAAGATTTTATGGACCTCAGCCACCAGAGCAGAGGATTGTCAGCACACATCAGACCTTAGTTTATGTCCAGTCTGTCAGAGGATATCGATCCTGCATCCAGTCGTTAACACCTATAAACTGTTTGGGATTCAAATGTGAGCCTCAGTATGTAGAAATATGTTTCCTGTCACTGCTACTGATGACAACCACAGAAGCAGTGACTTTGTCTCTTCTAAGGAGTCAGACTGATGGGAGCCAGAAATACCTGAGCAGTGATGTCACACTTCAGACTATGAGCTGATCTGCAGGTGTGTGTTTGTTTTTCTTGTTTGTTGAGGGTTGGGTGGGTGGAGTTAAAGCTTGACTATGTATGTATGTGAGAGGTGAACGTTCTGGTGTTTTTGTTGTTGTCAAAAACCTGCCCAGCTGCTGTTAACAAGCCTGAAGGTAAAACTTTATCAGTCAGGATGTGAGCAGAGTCTCAGAATCAGGATCTGCAGCTGCACCAAGTTTTACATTCAAACAGTCGCACGTTTCTCCAAAATTAAGCTCATGTGACGTTTACGACTGCAGGTGTTTGTCTGCTGCCGTGAAATGTGAACTGAGTCAAGCTGAATAGTTTGTTCAGATTAATCAGATTTAGTTCATCGACTCCAAGACACGAGTTCAGTTTGACTTAAAGCAGATTCAGCAGCAAACTGCAAAGAGAGAAAGCTTCATGTAGTGCAGGGCAGTCTGCTGATGTACTGGCACAGTTTCTCAAAACACTTTATTTAATGAGTTGAGTCATTCAATCAGTTCGTTATTCCAAGAGTCAGTCCTGAAGTCTGAGAAGTTCAAGTGTCTTAAAACTTTCAAACATTGACAACAATCACCAGAAAGTTTCAGAGAATTCAGTGTTTTCGCAGCACTTCCTGTGAGGACGCTTCGTTTACGGTTTGATCAACAAGTCAAACTTTTAAAACTCACGTAATCATTAAAAACAGTTTTAAAAGAACGCTGCATAGATTGTGTCTATTGTGGACGTGAAAAGTTGTAAAAAACAAATATATATATCAAGTGAGTTGTTGTTTTTTTCTTTTTAAAGAAGACTGAGCAGGAAAAAGAAACCACAGCAGTCCAGGAGAATCCCACAAACAGTTCTTTTTATTTATGAATGAACTTCATCCAAAGTGCAATAAAGAGAAAAACCTCAAAGAAAACAATATTTGCTTCGAGCAGAAATTGTCTTTTATATTCATGTTCAGTTCAGTTGATCAGAGTATCGCAGCAACCGGGAACAGTCAGATTATAACACCCACATATAGTAGTTTGTGTCAGTGAAGCAGCTGTAATGTGGATCAGAACCGGTCCTGATCAGATCAGTGTGTAGCTCTGAGTTACAGTCATCTTGGTTGATCATGTTAGCTTGTATTGTACATATGGTGCATTGTTATTGGATGTATAGCTGCATATAGGACAGGATGCTGCTGCGGCTGCAGATCATCTCAGGCCGACTTCTCCTCTGCTTTCACAGTTTGGTCCGTTTCTGGTGCTTCATCTCTGTTACTGCAGACGAGACAACAATTTGTTCAAAATCCATTTTGCTCTTTGCAATTAACTGTGAAGATTTGCCTCCAAAAAGAAGCTAAAAATGAACAAAGGTGGGACAAACTGTTTGCTGAGGGAGACCATGAGATGTGGTGAAAGCTCCAGAAGAAGCTGCTATGTGTTGACTTTGACTGTCTCAGTGCTGTTTGATGCTCTTCACGTGTCTCGTAGGTTTATTTTGCAGGTGACTGGAGGTCAGGAGCTGCTCCAGAGCCAAAGTATTTATTTATTAGATTCAGTCATGTTGGGAAAAACTGAGACAATCGAGCTTACACAGAAACATATCTCTTTACATGAACGTAAAACTGTCATGGAAAGTTCTTGGACACAATGAGACAGCAGGTTCTCAGCATCGAGCCGATCTGCTGAGTCAGCATAATTTATTAATTCAACTTATTTCCAATAGTTAATGTAATTAAATTGGAGCAGTTCTACAGAATAAAAGTTCCGTTGGTAAATGAAGTAGATCCAACCCAAGTAAATGAAGTTTGTCCAACACAATTGCTGAAAAGTTGCACTGAAATACTTTTCTGTTTTTAGCTCCATGACTGATGAAGTTTTCTTTCTGTTGTTGGTTCTGTGGAGATGAAGAGATGAAGAGGCAGCTTCAGGACACATCTTCAGTCCAAACACAGAAACATTAAAGAGACTTTCAGCCTCTCCGTAAAAAAAAAAAGAAGAAAAAACTGCATCTGTCTCAAACATTCCGCTGGATCCATACCAGCAGCCTCCAGGTTTACAGTCAGGAAACAATCATGTCAGAACCTGCTGCTCATCAGCAACAAGTGAAAAACTGCAATCAACAGAACAAAAAGGCACCGCGGAGAAATGAAGCGAGGAAGGAAGAAGGCAGCTTCACTTAGTACTGCTCTGCACCTGTAGCTGGATGTCAGCTCACTTGTCCCGGCTCAGCGTGAGCACAAAGGGCACCAGGGCTCCTCTGGCCTCCGCCGGGGAAGGCAGCGCCTCCGGCAGGAAGCCCTCCCGCTCCTCCGACACCTCGAACTGCAGCGTCTGGCTCCGGGTCACGCAGTAGATCCGCTCCCCGAGCACCGTGCAGCGGAACGGCAGCGGGTTGTCCAGCGGGAAGAACGCGCCGCCGAGCCACACCTTCACCACCGTGTTGTACTTGTACACGCTCACCCCGGCGCGCTCCCGGTCCACGTCGAAGCGGTACACGAGGCTGCGGTGCGCCACCATGTCCGTGGACCGCCGCCGGCTCTCGTTGAACGGACACTCCTCCCACTCGTCCCGGCGGGAGTCGTAGCGGAGCAGCCGGTAGAAGAGCGAGCCGCCGGACACGAACAGCTCCCCGCCGCACGACGTCGCTTCGTGCGCAACGGCGAAGGTTCCTTTGGGCAGCGGAGCCACCGGACGCCACCGGTCCGTGCGCGGGTCGTAGCGCTCCACCGTGAACAGACACTCCCCGCCCACCGCGTACAGGTAGCCGTCCATGGAGACCAGGCGGAGCTGGCAGCGCGGCTGGCTGAGCGGCCGGATCTGGCTCCACTGGCCGGTCAGCGGGTTGTAGCAGAACACCCGCTCCGACGCCTTGGAGCGGCCGTCCCCGTGCGCCCGCATCCCCCCGGCCACGAACAGGTAGTTGTACAAGGTGCACATCCCGGAGCCTTTGGCCGGGATCTCCTCCGGCAGGTTGGTCAGCACCTCCCACTGCTGGGTCTCCGGGTCGAGGCAGAACACCCGGCGGTGGTTGGCGTCCTCCGGGCCGGGCAGCAGCGGGCTCTGCGGCCGGCTGTTGTCCCGGCTCCCCCCGCGGTCGTACACCTCGCTGGTCTCGGCCACCGCCAGCACCTTTCTCCCCTCCATCCTGCGGGCCAGGATGTGCTCCCTCTCCCCCGCCGTGAGCCGGCCGTACACGGCGGGGCTCCGCAGCACCTGCAGGTAGTGGTCGCTCATGTAGCCGTAGACCTGCTCCTTCACGCCCTCCGCGCCTTCCCGCTTGGCTTTTGTCAGAATCTCGTAGCAGTTTTCTGCGCTGATCTGTTGCGTCATGTCTGCAGCTGCCGAGCCGAGGTGTGAACAAAGATCCCCGGCGGACATTTCTGCCTCCTCACCGGCCTGCATTCGCTCCGGATTCACGGTGGATCGGATCGATCCTGTCAGAGCCAATTATGCGTCTGGAGATCCAGCCTCGTTTGGTTCCTCACTCAGCAGACGCCCCGTTTGCTGCCTTCTTCTCCTTTATTCTCTCTGCTGTTACAAGTTTTCCTTCCTCCTCTTCACACACAGTCTAACGTCTCCTCCGGGTCCTCCATCCTGCGCTGCTCTGCCGGGGCGCGGTGCTGCTTCGGGCTGCTTCCTCCCGCCGCCGCTGTTTGGACACAAAGGCGTCCAGTGAGCGTGTGGACTCTGCGTCCTCCTCCACTCTGGACTCCGTGTCTGTGTGTTGACGCCCTTCTGGCTCGGCAGGAGGACGGAGGGAGACACGGCGGTGCGCCCCGCTGTCCTCTGCGGAGAACACTCTGACGAACAATGGGTCTGCGCAGAACCACACCGACGGTTCAGGCTTTGAGGAAAACACGTGGAAAGTCAATTCATCCAGGTGCCTTAGATCTGCATTGTCTAAGAATCACACTTGTCTCAGTCTTGGAGACGCACATTTCCCAACAATTACATCAGATTCATATAAAGAAGGAACAACTTTTTGGAAGTGGAGAAGAAAGTGAAATCCTCCTGGTGATTTTTTAAACACAAGAACATAAAGTCGTCCTCAAATGTGTTCATACCCTCCCATTAAGGAAGGAGAACAACAGCTGGAATACGTTGAAATTGACAAAAATAATAATAATAAATAACAATTTAATAAAAAATCATGACATTGCTTTTGAATTGTGTTCAACAGAAATATGAAAAACAAACAAAAACAAGCATGATGGATCCATAAACTAACATCTAGCTGAACAAACCTTTGAGCCGATCACGTGTTTTCTGTAACTCTCACTCAGACTTCTGCACCTGTTGACAGATGTTTGGATTTTGGCCATCAGCAAAGTGCTTTAATTTGTCTAATTTGTTTTTTATTATTATTATTCTTTTCAACCACAATTCAAAAGCAACATCTTATTTCACTAAATTGTAATTTAGCAAATTTTTATTTATTATTACTTTTTTCAGTTTCTAATTATTTGAGTGACTTTTGTGATTTTTTCTTTAACGGACAAGTACGAACACATCTGAAGACGACGGTACATCTAGAGTTTGTTCAGAAGCAAGAAAAAGAATCCAAACCAATCATCTTCCTCTGAGGTCAATAATCTTTCACTGCAGGACACAAATAAAACGTCTCAGTCACATTACAGTGAATAAACCAAAGTAAGAGTTTGGATCTAAAACTCTTCTCTGATTCCACTGAACTCAGATTTTCTTAGTTTTATAAAAACATTCTCATCAGCAATCAGTGAGTCTTTGTCACAGTTTTTCTCTGTGAGTCGAACATAAAGACTGAATGTTTGTCAGTCTGAAGTGAACGATGACGCTCCGGTCCAGTGAGCCTGCTGTGTCCTCTGAGCTGTCCGTGGTGCTGATCCTGGACCAGATCCTGCATCAAACAGGAGACCAGCACAAACACATCATCTGTCCTAACCAGCAGTGGTGCAGTGAGGCCCGGCTGTCCGGTGCTCATACATCTTTATTTTCACAGTGATAAAAAATAGCAGGTGAGGCTAAATGAGGCGAAGGATCTCCTGTTGCTGTGGCAGCAGCACAAGAGTCAGGATGTGAGAGTCACTGCGTCGTGAACAAGCTGCTGAAGGAAATGACTCTTCAGCTGTTGGCTCTTTTTCAGGTTCTGTCTGACGCCACCTAAATCCGTCCTGATGAGGATCCGACAGTAAACAACACTTCCCTTCACCTCAGGCAGGCGATCAGTCACACAGAGTTCATCAGCTGCAGGTGAACCATCTGTTCCTCCGTCCTCAGGTCGAGTCCGGAGCTCCGTCACGGCTGCTGGGAGGTTTTTTTTTTATATCGATGTGTTTACTGTCACGCTGAGTGTTTTGTTTATGGGCTCATAGCAACAAATTCACAGCAGCCATGATGTTGTTTAAATGGATGCTTCCCCGAAAACTACACAACGAACACGACCTCTCTAATCACTGGAGTAACATGAATGTGGTGAATGAAAACTCGTGCGATGATAGTTTATAGGTGGACTTTTATCTTCAACAACACACAATTTAAAACACTCATCCTCCAAATTACTGTTACAACTATTATTAGAGGTCAGAGTTGGTCTCCTGTTCTGGCTCAGTGGTTCACAAACTTCTTTTTGTTTTGTTCTAAATGACATCTTTACGTATGATTAAAGCTGTAAATCATCATAAATACGACTAATGCCAAGGTGCAAAGTTTAAAACCACTGAACCAGCTGCCTGCTAATATTAATGAAGAATGTGAGTTATGAGCATTAAGTCCTGATGCAGAAGAGAGTCCTGCAGGGAAAAAAAAACAGAATCAAAATGTGCAGATGCTTAATGTTCATGATCAGAAAGTGATCAAACCTAAACTTCCAGTAGAAGTCAGACACAGGTTGGCTTCATTTAAAATAGCTTAAAGTCCAAATTAGACACACGTATAGAAATCCTAAGTAAGTCAAACAGGAGCATCCATCCATCATCTATACACCTTAATCCTCACTAGGGTCATGGGGGGCTGGAGTCTATCCCTCAGGGTGAAGGCAGGTTCACCTGGACAGGTAACCAGTCTATCACAGGGCTACACTTAGAGACAGACAACCAAGCACACTCACATTCACACCTATGGACAATTTAGAATCACCAATTAACCTCAACATGTTTCTAGAGCCCACGCTGCACGGAGAGAACATGCAAACTCCGCGCAGAAAGATCCTGAGTGTCCTCACTGGGATGCGAACCGGTGACCTTCCAGCTGCGAGGGCAGCAATACTAACCACTGAGTCACCTTCGTTGTTAGAGTGATAGAAGCTGTTTGATTTCCACCCAACTAACAAACATGAGATGGTAAAATAAGAGAATCTCACACAACCGCTGACTGAGATCTGGACAGTAGCTTAAAGCAGAATCAGCTACTTTCTGACAACGAAACTGCAGAAGCTTCATTAAATGTATTGGGGTCAGAGTGAACAGGTGTGAAGTTATTAAAGCTGCTCCTGTCCATAAAGCACATTTAAAAACACAACGAGCACAATGTGACAGAGACAATATGTGGAATTAAAACGTAAAAGAAGCAGATAAATAACTGAAGGAAAACATTACAGACACTTCATCAGCTGCATGATGGGATTTCAACAAGGCGGGAGGATGCGACTGTGAACTTTTCTTCAGTCTGACAGCAAAACCAAGAAGAGAGAAGCAGATTCTGCTGTGGATGGAGATGAACTTAAAACTGTAGGACTTGGTGGAGAAACAGCTGAGAGCTGATCAGATGGATTTATTATCAAACAGCTCCACCTGCTGCAAAAAGCTCAGAATCACAGCTGCCTGTCAGCACAGTGTGGATGAACTCCAGTTTAACATGCTGCTGAGAAATAAATGCCACATAAAGAACTTTAAACAATCCACCAAAGGACTTATTAGCAAATGTTATAAGCATCTTTCCTTAAAGCAACATGTAGGAAAAGTCACACAGATTCCACAGAGTTCTTCGTAGAACATCAGACTCATACCGACAGGTTTTGTTGATCATATCCAGTTTTTAAATTATTTTTTTTTATTTTAAGTTGTGTCTTCATGTCTGGGCTGCACACTGCATCATATTGTTGTCATGGACATATACACAGTGTTACCGTTTTTTTTAGCTGCTTGATGCAGAATTAAAGTTTACATTCACTGTATAAAAAGACATAAAACCTTTTTTTTTTTTCTCACTGTCTGACATTAAATCAGACAAAACGTTTCCTGTTTTAGGTCAGTTAGAATTACCAACATTATGTCTATTTGCTAAACACCAGAATAATGAGAGAGAGAATTTTTTATTACTTCCTTCAAAGTCAGAAGTTTACATCCACTAAGATTACAAACCCTTCAAACTATTTGAGACAGCCCAGATGATGATGTCATGGCTTTGGAAGCTTTTGATTGGAGTTAATTGGAGGCACACATGTGGATGTATTTTAAGTCACACCTCAAACACGCTGCTTCCTTTTGTGACAAGATGGAAAATCTAAAGTAATCAGCCAAGATATCAGGAAGAGAACTGTGGATCTCCACAAGTCTGGTTCATCCTTGGGCACAATTTCCAGATGCCTGAAGGTTCCACGTTCATCTGTTCAAACAATTATACACGACTATAAACACCATGGGAATGTCCAGCCATCATAGCGCTGAGGAAGGAGACGGGTTCTGTGTCCCAGAGATGAAGTGTTTTGGTGAGAAATGTACGTTTCAACCCCAGAACAAAAGCTAAAGACCTTGTGAAGATGCTGCTGAAGCTGGTCAGAGAGTCATTATCCACAGTGAAACCAGTCCTGTACCGACATGGGCTGGAAGGATACTCAGAGAGGAAGAAGACATTACTCCAAAAGAAACATAAAAAAGACAGATTACAGTTTGTAAATGCACACAGGGACAAAGAGCTTAATATCTGGAGACATGTCCTGTGATCTGATGAAACTAAAACTGAACTGTTTGGCCATAATGACCATCGTTACATTTGGAGGAAAAAGGGGGAAGCTTGAAGCCTGAGAACACCATCCCAACTGTGAAGCACGGGGGTGGCAGCATCATGCTGTGGGGGTGTTTTGCTGCAGGAGGGACTGATGCACTTCACAGAATAGACGGCATCATGAGGAAAGAACATTATGTGGAAATATTGAAGCAACGTCTCAAGACATCAGCCAGGAAGTTAAAGCTTGGGAACAAGTGGGTCTTCAAATGGACAATGACTCTAAACATACCACAAGATTAGTTACAAAGTGGCTGAAGGGCAACAAAGTCCATTTTGTGGAGTGGCCATCACAAAGCCCTGATCTCAATCCTGGAGAACATTAGTGGAGCAAGGAGGCCAACAAACTT